CCTAAGTTTCTCCAAGCGGAAGACGGGCAGCAATGGGAATGGTTTGGTGTCAGTATAACAAAGAGCTTCCTCCTTGTCAAAGAGCTCCAGCCATGGCAGTATGTGCCTGGAGAGCAAGGACATTGTCTCCCTATGCAGTGGTCGGCAAACTGCGGCTAGCGAGCCACATGCGGCTCTTTGGCCCCTTGAGTGTGGCTCTTGCACAATATACCACGTGCAGGCGCACACGTACAGTGCGATTGAAACTTCATGGTAATAACATGCGCAGAAGTCGGTATTTTGTGAAAGAGCCACACTCAAGGGGCCAAAGAGCCACATGTGGCTTGCGAGCCGCAGTTTGCCGACCACTGCCCTAGGGATCTCTGGCAAAGGTTCAGCCATCACACCCACAGAGCAAGAAGAGAGACAGTCAAAGGGTGTCAGACATCAGATGAGGACTGGACCAGGGTAGGTCTGAGATCCCTTGCAAAACTGAGACTCTGTCATTCTGTAGACCTTGAGTTATTGCCTTTTAATTAAAAACTTAAAGCACCTTTCCTAAGGCTTGACATTCAATATCCTGGAGACGAAAGCCTAAGGCAGCCGTGGGCAAACTACGGCCAACAGATCCGGCCTGTTTGAAATGAATAAAACTATTGAAAAAAAAGACCATACCCTTTTATGTAATGATGTTTATTTTGAATTTATATTAGTTCACACAAACACTCAATCCATGCTTTTGTTCCGGCCCTCCGGTCCAGTTTAAGAACCCATTGTGGCCCTCGAGTCAAAAAGTTTGCCCACCCTTGGGCTAGAGCATCGGTCAGCTCACGGAAGAGTCTGGGGTTCTATTCCCGGTAAAGGGAGTATACCTGGGTTGCACGGTGCAATCCCTGGCCCAGGTCCGGGTGAGTGCAGGAGGCAACCAATAGATGTGTCTCTCTCATGTTGATGTTTCTCCCTTTCTCTCTTCCTCCTCCTTTCCTTCCACTCCCTAAAAATCAATGGAAAAAAATATCCTCAGGTGAGGATTAACAACAAGAAAAATATTATGATTCACTTCAGTTTTGCCTTTTTACAAGTCCTGCTGTTGAGAGAAGTACTTTCACAGTTTTGTTGTTTTGGTTGTTACTTGGGAGTTTGTGGTAAGGGGGTCTTGGGTTTGTATTTTAATGGACTAAATCTCAGTGTCTCAGATTTGATGCTTTTCCCCTCTCCACTAAAGTCATTGAAATATATTCACCCAGTCATTCACATCAGAGGTGTAAATGGTTTTTCTGAAGGTTTTTTAAGAGACAGTCAAAGCCCATCACTTTGTGACTTGAATTCTTCAGGTATTTTGATCAGAAAGCTTAACAAACCCTCCCAACTGCAAGGATGCTAAAACTATGTTTTGACCTTGACTCTGCCCGGGGGGGGGTGGGGGGGGTGGGTATTGACATCTTTTGCTAGAAGTAGTGCTCATCCACCACGTCTTGGTTTTAGCCATTGGTGTAGAATTTACTTGGGAAAGAGAAAGGAGAAGCAATCAAATTGAGCCTTCAGAGTGTGAGGGAAAATAACAAGTTTATATGACTTTGCAGCTCCCAATGGTTGTTGCTGCTATAGTTTAAATTTTTAGGTCACCTTTTTTGTCATTGATATTTGCAAAAACCTGACTTAAAAAGTGCATCAGCCATGTCACACAAAGGCTTATTTCTCCATTTGTTTCATGTCATCAAAAAGACATAACAAGTATAAAGCTCCTCTCAGGTTTAGTCTTAAAATATAACCCTGAGGAAACGGTAAGATTGCAAAGATTTTACTTACACCACTCAGGACCCCAGGCTCTGGAGTCGAGAAGCTAAAGATTGAATTTCCAGCATTGCCTCTTTTTATTTCACTCAGTATCTTTGAGTCTCAGTTTCCTTCCCTAGCAGGTAGAGAAATGATAGTACCTAGCTCATAGGGTTGTTGTGAAGATTATATAATGTAACAGACACTAACCAGTGGTTCTCAACCTTCCTAATGCCACGATCCTTTAATACAGTTCCTCATGTTGTGGTGACCCCAACCATAAAATTATTTTCATTGCTACTTCATAACTGTAATTTTGCTACTGTTATGAATCGTAATGTAAATATCTGATATGGTATATGTGTTTTGCGATGGTCGCGACCTACAGGTTGAGAACCGTGCAAGCCCTCAGACATCTTAAGTTCCTCATAAATGTTAGCTATTATTATTCTAGTACTAACTCTAATGGCTTCACCAAACCTTAATTATGGAGCTATTGTCCGGATTAATGACATCGTGGCCAAATCATTCCCTTATACAGCTGCAAAGCAGGTTTCGGCATTGTGTAACAATTCATTCTTAGCTAATGAACTTGAACAGCCATTTTTGAGAAAATAATGAGGAATCTTGAATCTAGAATTAGAAAATGCATCCTATTTGCCAGGAACTTTTCAGGAACAAATATCTAACTATTTTAGGAACAAATATCCTAAGTCCTTGGGAGAACTGCAAAGAACCTACTGTGTGTTGGTGACTATACACTTGAAATGTCCGGGCAGGAAGAACTGCAAATCATAGTGCTTTGCCTCCCAGAATAAGGTCCTGTCTAAGAATAGGTTGTCAACTAGAGACCAAGGTCATACAGCAACTGATCACTGCCTGCATGCCTCAGTGGGACTCTAGAAAACTGCACTGGCCACTCAAATGTCCTCCCCGGGGACCAGGGGTGTAGTGGAGTCAGCTCTGGGTTGGGAGTTGGACAAAGCAGGCTTGAGTCCAGGCTTCGCCATTTATTTTCTGTGTGACTTTGGTCTGGTTGCTTGGCTTTTCTCAACCCTAGTTTCCTCATCTGTGAAATGCAGCTATTTTATAACCTAACTCCTTCAAGAGGTCAAATTGTAAATGTGCATAAAAGTGCTGAAGCCAAATGCCATTAATAGTACTGGTATTATTACTATTACTAATACCATGCCACTATTGCAAAGGAAAATAAATGGGAACAGGAAGAACATGGGTCCCTGTGTACTACATATGACACCAGTATGACTCCTCAAACACAAGGCAAATATCCTCAGAGTGGTGATGAGACTCAACCTTCTTCCTGGCTGAAAACCCTTATCCTATGACAGATATACTACCTGTGTCTCAGTAGTATTATTAATGTATTGATAATCCAAAATTCACGGTAATATGTTTCTATTCTATTTTTTATCTGAATTTAAGTGAGTTGACAACAGAAAAACTGGTTAGGTTATAAACTAAGTCATATCCGTTGTCCATATACTAAATTATTTACCAACTCATTACACCCTCGCTTTAAGTTCTTCATTTGTTCGCCATTTGTTGATCAGATCCCAAGCTCCCTCTCCTGACCTGCAAGGCCTTTGGTGATCTGGTCTCTGGCTCTTCCACTTGATGCTTTCTTCTCACCCTGCTCAACTTTTCATAGTTTTGTGGATGCCCTTCCCTCTTCCTGAAATATCCTTACCCCTGTCTGCTGGATCCGTTTCCATTAATTCTTATAATTAATGGAACAATGCCTGGCCTATAAGTGGACATTCAATAAATGTTTAAACAAATTGACTTGAAATCCGATGGCTCCTACATAGACTGAAACAAGCGAGTATTTTTGTTTCCACTTGGCCTTGTAAAGTCTGGAATTCCTACTAAAGTCTGAATGTATTCTACATCATCGAAAGGCAATAGCTCTTATAAATTATTTTGCACATGTAGCTCTCCTAAATGTGCCAATGAGAACCTGTTTCATAGACACTAATGGAGTTGATAAGCCACAATATACGTTTTAGTAAACAAATAGGTTAAATATATAGTATAAATTAAAATGCTGTATTCCCTATTGTCCATTGCAAAAGTTTGCACAATCAAGAAGCATGTGTTCTATCATTTAACAATAAAACAGGCATATATGTGAATATTCACAGGAGTATACTCCTAAGAAAGTCATGATAGCAATGTTCACATAAGATAGGCCAGCCCCTCTGGGGCCACGTCCAAAGGATTGTAGTAACTAATGACAAAAGGACTTCCTACAGGATTTCTTTCCCAAAAGTAAATGCAGAAGTACCGTCCATAGATCCTGGGCAGAGTATACTCTCTGTCTGTCTGCCTGTCTCCCTTCTCTCTCACACACATGCACACGGACTCTTTGGGATTTTAAAGTTCCAAGTAGAATTCATTAATAAAAATATGAAATGTGTTTTGTTTTATAAATCATAGTGAAGTGTGGAGAGATAAAGGAAGAACTAAGGGGCGAATAATCATCTCCTGCTTTCCACTAAAACCTGTCAGTTCACTTCCAATTCAAACACCTGGTTTAAAAGATTTATCTACAAGAAACCTAAAAGTTTGTATCCTGCCTCATCGACAACAGCCTCAAACTGTTCCTTGTCATCTCAGAAAACAAATCTTTTGCTCCTTCCTGCCTAGGGGAGGCCGAGGGACGGAGGTGGTCCTGTGTGGCCGAATTAGATGAAAGACTTGCCTTCCACCATGGAGACATGGAGTCTAATCAAGCGAAATGAGTTCTGAGATCCCAGCTCATTTCCTAGGGGAGATCAGTTCGCATTACAAAATCATGGCATCTCATTCATCACAACTGACTCGGTCTTTGCTCAGGAGAGAACCCCAACTGGGACTAAACCACCTGTCTTCCCTTGCAAAGAGGCACTTTATCTGAGGTAGAGCTGAAAGCCTGGGAGTGAGAAAGCTTGCCAGCTTCCACCCGAGTGATACACATGCAACGTGGAAGGCAACTTAAGTTTTGCAAAGGAAGATGAGTTTAAGGAAGATTGGTGGTTGTGGTTTTAAAGATGCCAGATACAAATAATTGTAACAGAGATACTATGGCATTATGGTGGAGAGAGCCAAGATTGGGGCTCCCTTTTCTTTATCTCCTAGGTTTTATTAAAGGATAAGCATTTCCATGCATCAGAGTTTAAAATGGCAAAGAAAGTGTGCTGATTTCTATGCTGATAAATGATCATCATCTCTTTTATTTCTTTCAGGGCATTGTTATAACACCCCTGCTACTGCTGCTTTTTGTGAGTATTTTGATGTTGTCTTTAATATCTTTTATTAAAAGCCATCTACAATCCTTGAAGAAAGGCCATTAAAATAGAATTGAAATTTGAATCACTTTGTATGATTTTGCATCACATTTTGAACTGTTCTCCCATTTGAGCTGTACCAAGTAATAACATGTGGACCCAAAGGATCTCTGTAGCCTCATGATCCAAGGCCAGTGTCAGGGCCCAGTTATTAAGCCTCCAACTCCTGGCCAAGTCATGAATTACTAGAAATTAGTGACCTGTGACTAGGTCACAAATGTACTGCTCTTTATTTTTCCATTAGTAAAAACAAAGTGATTGCTAGTGGCCCAGTATTTGATAGAAAGAGCCTTGGACCCAGAACCAGAGGAAGCTTAGGTTCCAAGGCTGACAATAACCGGCTTCCCCACTTTGGGGAATACTGCCTCAATTTCTTCATCTGTAGAATGGGAAGCAATATTACCTACCCCAGTGTGCCTCCCAGGAATAATGAAATGTGCTTTAGAAATAAAATAAAAAATACAAGCTACTGATTAACTAAACAAAAATTGTACAGAAAATAAGAAATGCTAATTAGCTGTCTTATTTCTTTTGGTACTAAGCATATGAGAAATTAGATGAAAAATTATAACAGAAATTAATGTTATCTCATGCTGAGAAAAGCATATGTAATCATGAGTGATACCTAAAATATTTTATGAACTGTGCATTTTTCATACACACATCTCCCAAATATAAATCACTCCACTGATCACTGCAATGGAGGGGGTGTGTTTCTGGGAGTGAAATGTAGCTGTTTAACTAGCACTGTTTGTCAGTGAATTAAAACTATGGGGAAAATTTATTTAATTATAGGGTAATTACCCAAGTTGGAATTCAATTAGAGTAATAGAGTGAGGGACTTCATTTCTTACAAGCTGTGCAGGAAGTGGAGGGGGAGAGATACTACTAAACAGTTGGATTCTGCATCATTCATGAAAGACATTACCTTTAAGTGCGAAGGCCCAGCCTTCCCTTCCCTTTTCTTTTCTCCTGAAATGCTGGCTTCCTTCTGACCAGGTTAGAGGAGTCCAATAATCAGATTACTTCTCTGAGCATAATGAACCTCATTCATTTGGACTTCACCAGTTCAGAATTTGCAGCGAGTCCACTTGAAACTGAAGTGAATATTGATTTGCATTTGTTTGAAATACAAGACTTGGTATGTACCTACCTGCTCACCAGATGTGAGGGCCTGGGATCATCCCTCGGTGTTGTTTCTGAGACAAGGGCACAGCTTCCCAGGAGCATCCCCTGCATGCACAGCACAGGCCAGCCTGCAGTCCTGCTGCAGTGGACCAGAGGACTAGTACAGAGCCAGGTATCTGGTTAGTGTATAGCAAATGGCTGTGTAGCCCAGGTTTTCTCCACTGCAGAAGAATAAAGAGTGGCATCTCTAACTCATGTGACTCTTAAGAAAATCTGGGGGAAATCATAGCTGCAGCTACAGGGCTGAGACCTATGGTAGCACTTTTGAGAATCTCAGAGGCTGGAATCTCTGGGGCCCCATTTCGGCTCATGACTAAAGAACTAGAGGAGTACTTTCCTCCTCTCCTTCCCATCTCCACGCCATAGAGATTTTCTCCATGGATTAATAATATGGCATCATACTATTGCAAGCTTCCCCCCTCTCTTGGACCCACAGACTTGTGAGCTTTAGTTGGTTCAGCATTTTAAAATAATAGAACATCAAGAGTAGTGAAAGAAACCCCAAGACCCTGAACTTTAAAAAGTGTAATGTTTCCCCCTGAGCTACCTGGGCTGTCCCAATAGGTTGTCACAGGCATCATCACCCAACATTGATAGACACTTTTACTATGTTCTATGACTTTAACTCGCATGCACAGTATATAGCACTTTTGTCTCTTTAAGTTGTCATGCAATTTACAAACAATGGGCATTGCTTAAACACTTGGGTTACCAGGCCTCATTTCCTGAGCAGGAAAAAAACCCGAGCAACTTAAAATATGATCACATTCCATAAAAGATGTAGTGTTGTTTTTATCAACACCCCTGTTATGAGTTAAGTTGTATCCCTCAAAAAGACATGCTGAAGGTCTAACCCGCGGTACCCCAGGATGTGACCTTATATGAAAATAGGCTTATTGCAGGTGTAATTAGTTTAGGTGAAGTCATATTGGTGTAGGGTGGCCCTTACTGCAATATGACTGGTATCCTTATAAAAAGAGAAGCCAGAGGCACACAGAGAGAATGCACGTCAGGTGGAAGCAGAGAAGGAGTGTTGGGTCTACAACTCTAGGAACACCAAGGGTTGCAGGCAAACTTCAGAAGCAAGAAGAGATGAGTAAGGATCCTCCCCTACAGATTCCACAGGGAGCATGACCTCATTGATCTCAGACTTAATAGCTTCCAGAACTGTGAAACAATATATTTCTGTTTACCCAGTTTGTGGTGTTATCCTATATAATAAAAGGCTAATATGCAAATTGACCGAATGGCGGAACGACTGGTTGCTATGACATGCACTGACCACCAAGGGGCAGATGCTCAATTAGGAGCGCTAAGGATGTCTGACTGCTAGAGGGCACAGGCTGGGCTAAGGGACCACCGCCCCCCCCCCAAGTGTATGAATTTTGTGCACTGGGCCTCTAGTGTTAAAGAAGAAACTAAAACAACACCTGGAAATTGAATTGTCTTTTTTTTTTAATAATATCTTGAAAGGGAGTGAGTTCTCATTCACAAAGGGAGAGTGTGGCCTCCTAAGCACAGAGTTCACCCATAATAACGGGAGACGGAGAGGCAGAATAACTCTTATTGAGTAGATATAGTGGGAACTTATTACATAATCCCATGTGAAGAGCATGACTACCTTTAGAGGTAGGTATTATCCTCACTTTATATGAGAAAACTTAGGTTCAAAGAGTTTTTGTAACTTGGTTTGGACTGCACAACTAGTAAAGAGCACAAGCATTTTCACTCAGGGTCTGCCTCCCCAAGGGCCCCTTCCAGGTGATACTCACACAGCACACTTCCCAGGAGACAGTAATTTTAAGACATATGATCAGCGCTCAATTACTACTTCTTGAATATTTTTATTCTGGGTAACACAGGAAAGACTAAACAAGAACAAGGCATCATTATTGCCTTGAACAAACTTAAAGTTTATTTGGGTAAACAAGAATAAAGAATAATGAAGACATTTAGAGGAAAAATTAACTGCTACGCTGTGTTATTCAGACTGAATTGCAGAGGAGTTCATGGGGTCATGGAGAGAGATCCGGGACCAGCCTTGAGGCTGCAGTAATGATTAGTTTTCCTAGTAAACAGCTACCTGTGATAAAAAATAATTTTTCAACTTCTGATCCATCAATAGAGTACAGCCATTACTGTCACATACAGCACTCTACTTGTCATATATTCCCAATGATGATTGCATAATTGATAATCACATGTATATAATGATAACAAAACACTTAAAGAGAAGCTATTCATTTAATTGGCCCAAATGTTTTATTCCTGTACTAAGGACTGTTTGTTTCTAAAGCAAGTGAAGACCGATATTCTCTTGAACCTGCGAGTAGCTTATCTTCTGACTGTGTGTGTAAATCGCACAGAGATGGTTATCACACAGGGAGAACTTTGTGAGGCAAAATAACCTGGAGTCTTTGGTAAATACCCCTGCTGGGGCTCCCCCCGCTCAACCCCCACCAGACTTTTGAATCCTAAAGGGCCAGGAGGAGCACCTGGTACACCATTTCCAAATGCTCTAGCTAGAAGTGACATTGATGTACTCCCTTCTCCTTTAAGGACCACTGTCCCGGAGGCCAGCTCCCCTGTTGGTCTGGGACTTCTCAGGCTCCTCTGAAGGGAGGGAGGCAGTGACTGGGTGAGCTCAGGCACAGGGCTGCCTAAACCACACTTTCCCTGCCTCTAGCTCCTCCCAGCACCAGCTGCTGGGCTCCCTGAGCAGGCAGGGTCTGCTCTGCACAGCATGAGGAGGACACTGTGTCCTTGCACCACCCTTGCTGAGGGTCCCCACACTTAGAGCACTCTTCCCGGGGGAGCTTCAGCATCTGCTCCAGTTAAGGGACTGTTTAGTTAGCAACAGTAGGCACTTGGTTCCTGAACCAAGCTCATATTGACAAGACCAAATCCTGTGGTCAGGGGATTAGAAGCAAAGATTGTTTCCAGGTGCTGGGAGTATCCCTGCCCCCAGCCCTCCAAGTCCCCAAAGCCCATCTCCCCACAGCTTTCCTCTGTGCGCTGTGATAAGCCAACTTACCATTCATTTGGGTGCATCCTTCTAAAATGTCTGTGTGGTTTGAATAACCGGAACTGACAGTTGTACATTGGGGCCTTCAGTTATGGAAGGTAATCTTTTCATTTTAGGTTTTAAATTAGCCTATAACAACAAGACATGTTTTACATATTTTTTATCTTTGAAAAATCAATTGAAGCTTGTTTTGCTTGTTCCTTCCCAGAGAAGGAAACACCATGCACCTAGAGTAAAAAGGATCCTTTCCCAACTAAATGCATGCCTTCCAGGTAGTGACCCAGCTTTAGTGTGATACGTGCAGCTGAATCAGAATCAACCACATTCTTCACAATCATGTTCTTAATTTTAATAGAAATAAAAGTCATTTTGACACTGAGCCTGTCAGCTGGTGTACACTTAACTCATCTGTGTGTGGAAGGAATCAATGTCGTTGCATGTGTCCCTGGAGAGAAGGAGCAGCTGGGTGAAAGAAAGGCTCAACTGGAGTTTTTGGGGAAGGATGGAAACCTAAAAGGGTTTGGGGGCTGGGCACCAGGGACACTCCTCGTTGGCTTCCCTCTGTGAAGGAAAGGAGACTGGTACAGGAGAGTATGTCTGTCTGTGGGTATGTCTGTCTTCTCCCCCTTCCCCCAAGACGGCTCCATGGGTGACGGGTGATGGGTGACGGGTGATGGGTGATGGGCAGGATAAGGGTGGGCACTGGACAGGAAGTGAACAA